CCCTCCCCTATTATTGTAAGCCGCCCTGAGTCCCCTCAGGGAAAAGGGCGGCCTATAAATGTTTAATAAAAGTAAAAAAAAAAAAAGTAAAAAGTATATGCCATAGGTTCGCAATCATGGCTTTAGCTGATCTTAAAAAGCTATCAGCTGGTCTGGAAAAAGAAAGCAATGTAATCCACTTCCATATTATTGCCAAGAAACCAACTTAGATATATCTACAGAAGCTTGCATCAAGAGAGTCTTTACTTGTAGGATTAGAATTTTGAGCTACATGATTGTTCATGTAAAAAAATTAGATGCAGAGTGTTGGTTCTAATTTTCATACTGAGTTGATCAGCTTGAACAAATGGCTTTTGGGGAATGAGTAACACTTTTCCTGTAGTTCATGACAGCAAAAAACCAGCAAACCTGAGCAAGAACATTGGAAAAGAAAGGGAAAAACCTTTTGAGAAAAACTGTGCCTAGCAACTAGGTTTGTTGTAGGTTGCATGGTTTATTGCTTCCCTTTCTTTCCAGTGACACGTTCAATATCATAAGAAATAAATGAAATATTTCTGTAGTGTGATTTGAAGAGGATGCACATAACCGATACAGCCTATAATAGCTCCAAATTTGCTCCCTTTAGCTTGAATTAATATGTACAATTCAAAATTTGGACCTGCTTCTGGATTCTTGCTGCTGGGCTATGTTAGCATGATAAATTTGGAAAAGAGAAGTAAGATGATAGTGCTCTTCAACTACATGAAGCAGTGTCACGTGGAAGATGTCATCTACGGTATTACTTAGAAAGCTGCCATTCACTATACGTACTTAAATGGAAGGATACAGAAATCTGTTTAAGATGCTTTAATTTGGATTTCTGAATTATGCAGAGGTTTTCCTTCAGGGACCTAAATGGCCCCGGTATATGGCTTTTGTGTAATTCATTGGTATTTTGTATGCATTAATAATGAGACTTTTATGTTAATTAATAGCCATTCTGTTATGGAAGTATGTATGGATTAAGAACTTGGTTCTTGTAACAAAAGGTATTTTGTTTTATGGATAATGGAGTGAACTTCTCATCTTAAATAACCCCCAAATTATATAGAAGTAGAGGATTAGGATTTAGGAACAGAGCTACCATAGATTGTCTACTTGGCAAAGTGTGATGCTAAATAGAAGTTTTGTGAAAGACCTTAATAAGAGATAACGGTCTACTTTAATGCAACTGCTATTCTTATAATATTTTCTTGCTAAAGAAAGTTATTGTTGTGTGTTTACCTGGCATTTTCATTCTTATAGAAGAGAGGAAGACTTTGAATTCAGAAAGCAGAAATCTAAATTAAGGCATTGACAACTTAATGAATAAAAACTAAAGTTTTAGTTAATACATGCCAGCAACCCTGTATCCCAGTGCACATGCTCTTATGTTGCCAGGGAGATTGAAACAATCCTGTATGTCCTCGTTTACTGTAACTTCTGTATGATGACAACTCGCATTTTACTGTGAGTGCCGAGGAGAATGGACAAGTTCTATATCCATTATCTCTATATTCAGTCTCAGATCCTGATATCACTAAGGTAGTAGCTGAATTTATATCTGCAACAGTTGAAATAAGGCAAAAATTATCGTCAGACTTAACCTGATAACTCAGTCTCCTTGAATCACTTTATTTTTCTTTTCTTTCTCTTTCACTTTCTTCTCATCTTATATAACCCCAAATTGTGCTAATGATAAACAATTAATCAGGTATTAAGTAAACATCAATTGTGCTTAATGTATTCCAGATAGAATTTTATTAGTTTAGTGTATGCTTCTACATTTTATCACCCCATTGTTTATCTAAATTTTAATAGATTGCTATTTAATACCTGATAGACCATCGTATAGAAATATAGTTTGCACTTAATAGTGAAGAATTATTTCCAATTTTTGCTGCCTTCTTTAAATATGGTCTGCTACTCTTGTGTACAGTTTTCACTTTTCCTCTCCTTTTGTGTGTATAATTTATTCACCTATTTTGTTCTCAATCCCTGTGCCCCCTGTAATATTGTTACTGAACAGTATTTACATTTGATCACTGACCATAATAAAGGTTTTTATTTGATAAAGCTAGTACAAAAGGTTTTGATAGAGAGTGTCAAAGACAGCATACTCTTTCTGCATAAAATACCTTTTATTATCTTTTGGGTTTTGTCTGTAGATACCTACGAATTTTTCAGAATGTGGATCTATCCAGTAATTTTTATTTCAGGTATGTTTCTAACTGCATTTTGAAGTATTTATTGGAATCATTAACAATAACACTAGCAATAGCACTTAGGAGTGGTCCCCAACCATTCCAATTCCATGGACCAGCAACAGCAGTGGGAAGGGGAGATGATTTTGCATGCGTGCCCACTGCTTGCTGAAATGGAGCTTCATGCGCCCACACATTTGCCCAATCGCCTGCCACTTCCCACTTTCCAACGGGCCAAGGACCAGGGGTTGGGGACCCCTTGCTTTACAGCACTCTGAGCAATTTATAATGTCAACATACTTCCCCCAACAATCTGGATCCTCATTTACTGACTTCAAAAGGATGAAAGGCTGAGTGAACCTTGAGTTAGTCAGGATCGAACTCCAGACTGTGGGCAGAGTTAGCCTGCAATACTGCATTTTAACCACTGCACCAACAGGGCTCCTTGATTTATTATTGAGGATAACCTAGAATTTTCATATTTCTTTCTCTTATTGTCTTAGAATTGTATACTTAAAATATTCACACGGCATATAAACCTATTGTATTCTATGCTATGCCATGCCATGCCATGCCATTCCAAATGACTGAAATACAGCATCTCTGTGAAGAAGTTACTCAGTTCTCTCTTTCTTGCTTACCTCTTTACCAATTTGCATAACCTGATCTTCCTCTGGAGTGTACCATATCAAGTATTCTGTAATCCTGAATGACTACAATTTAGACGTTTCAATATCCCAGGTTTTAAGGACTTGGAATGTAACTTTTTTACGGTGTATTCTCCAGATTCATTGTAAAAAATGTCTTTAGGCTCCTGTATTCTCAGCTGCTGTCACATTCACATTCTGTCAGCTATCATTACATCTTTTCAAAATAATTTTGACAGGAGAATTGAGTCCTGTGGTATTTCATAGGAAAAGTAACTGAAGAATTAAAAACCTCCATTCAACACATAAGACATCCACTCTTAAGAGAAACTGTTCTCAGTCTTGGTTCCATGCTTCATTTTGCTCTCCTTCAATGCAACTCATATATTCCAAATCCTTTGCACCTATTTTCATTCGATATAGGAAAGATCTGAAGGATTATGTAGCGTTATTTAAGTAGGAGATTGGCAGTATTTAGAAGGCTTTGAATGTAGTATAGAAAAATAATAGAACTTAAAGGAAACCACCTATCTCAGTGGAACGAAATTTGAAGATACTACCATTAGACATTTTTAGATGTGCAAGTTGCCAGTGGAAGAGTACTGAGGGAAGTTCCTAGCTTGTTGCTAGGATTTTTTTTTTTTTTTTGGTCACAAGAAACTAAAATAGCTGTGTACAACAGTTGTTTGTGTCTACTTTATTATATGAAATAGGACTTGGGTAGTCAGGGAAAACATAATAGTAGAGTTCATCCTCATGCTATGACCTTCAATGACTGGTCAAATGTGCAACAGTGCTAAAAGAGAGGGACTTACAACAGGTTCTTATTTCCAATTGTCACAGCATCCCCACAGTCACATGATTGTGATCTGAGTGCATGGTGCCCGGCTCACAATTACAATGTTGCAGCAAGCTATAATCACATGATTGCAATTTCTGATGCTTCCTGCCGGTTTCCCACAAGCAAAATCAGTGGGAAAGCCAGCAGGAAGTTGAAAGTTTCAGTCACATGAGGCTCTTACTTAACAATCTATGTAGTCATCACTTAACTATGACAACCGGGACTGTCAAGAGGTGCCATTCCTAAGCAACGTGGTCACATGACTTCACACTTTATGATCTTATCACTTAGCAATGGCAGTTCCAGTTCCAATTGTTATTGTAACCCAAGGACTGTTTGTAAGTTGAATACAGTGAGATTGGAGATACTTAAGTAAGTGTGTAAATACAGTGATGAACTGTCAAGTGGATGGAATTAATAAAATCCTCCAAAACGGAGTGATGAGAAGTTTAAAGAGCAAATGTATGAATTAGTGTATGTATGAATTAGTATATGATAAAAACAATTATGGTTTGCAATCCTTCTGAGGTGAATGAATTGAGGACCCAGATTGTTGAGGGCAATATGCTGACTCTGTAAACTGCTTAGAGAGGGGTGTAAAAGCACTGTGAAGCAATATATAAGCCTAAGTGCTATTGCTATCTTTAGTTTGCTATTTTTCTGTCTTTTTGTTCAGTTGCTTACCCCCAAAAAGAATAATGTGATGGATTGGAATGCATATATGGATGGATTCAATCTTGTCCATCATAATAAAAAACCTCCCTTTTTATGATCTAGTGTTTGTAATACACTAGAAAATTATATTTTGTGAATAGATTCCATCATTTTGATTTCTCAGACTGGATAATCTAGAATTGTGACTCTCATAATTCACTCAATTTGTCACACATTTGAAATTCAGCCCATAAAGCATACTGATTGTTCACTGTCATTGGATTAATTGGTATTTTATTTCTAAGGAACTGTACAATTAGAAGATAGTTTGAAGTTTGAAGTTTTGTTTTATTTATATGCCGCCCTATTCCCTGCAGGGACTCAGGGNAATAAAAACCTGGCGTCGGTCGTGATGATGAGGTGATCTGGTTCTTTGAAGAAGCTGCCCTTTGACATGGCTGGTGACTGCCACAATCAAAGATAGTTCCGAACCCTTTGAGGCACTGGTATCCGGGACAACGAGTTGCTGGCTTTGGACCTCTGATGAGGTAGGAGGAGCCATTGCAGTTGTCGAGAGTGGAGTCTCGCCCAAAGCACTATGGAGAGGCATGAAATCATTTTGCCGAGAATTTGAGACAGGAGCACTACTGAGGTTTGGCGTGATGTTCGAACCTGGTGCACTAGTTCCCCAATGCTGGCAAGACGGTCTGGCGACAGGAACACTTGACAGCTCATGGTGTCGATCATGGCTCCGACATGCAGTAGCCTTGTCATGAGAACAATATGGCTCTTCTCCAGATTGATGGAGAACCCTTGCTCTTGAAGGGTTCTCATTGTGATCTGGAGGTCTCATGTCGCTTGTACATGGGAGGACGACTGTATGAGGATGTCATCCAGGTAGCATTGGAGCCGCACTGGACGAGATCTGAAGGAGGCTGCTACCGCTGCCAACAGCTTTGTGAAGGTTCTTAGGGCCGATGATAGCCCGAATGGAAGGGCCCGAAATTTCCTTCTCCATGAGAGATGTTTTGACTGGGCAAGCGGGAGTGGGGCAATGAATGAAATGATATTGGGGGGGGGGGAGATATGAATTCCAGAGTCAGACTTAGGCGTATTGGCTGTAATACCCATATGTCTGAGGTGGTTCGCTCCCATTGGGCCAGAAACAGCTGTAGCTGGTCGCCTATGGGAGCCCCCTGTTGGTGGTCACTTATAACAGTGGAAGTGCTTGGAGCCAGCTCCGCCGCAAAGGGACGCTTGGAGAAATATCGCTGCCTGCCCTTGTCCCAAAAGGACTGCCTGTCCTGGAACTGGTCTGCCCCTTGAGGATAGAGATGCTAAAAGGCAGGGGGCCTAACGGCAGCCTTAGGTACCTGAAAAGGCTGTCTCCAAAAGGGGGGGGGCTGTGATCTGTTTTCCTAGGGACCGAAGGCAAGACCTTTTTCTTGTCCTTATTTTCAATAATGACTGGATCTAGGGCCTCCACAAATAGTTTGCCTCTCTTGAAGGGAGCAGAGGCCAGCTTCCATTTGGAATGCATGTCTGCATTCCAGTGTCGGAACCACAGAAGGCGGTGAGAGGTGACATTGGATTCCAGGGCCCTGGATGCGAATTTTGTGGCGTTCAGGGTGGCATCAGCAATGTATTCAACTGATGCAACAATTTTATTAATGTCCTTTCTCAATCTGGTATCCCCTGCAGGAAGCTTGGCCAAGAGTTGCCTGAGCCAGAACAGAAACACTCTAGAAAAGAAAGAGGCTGAGCTAGACGCCTAAATGTCCCAGGCAGCCACCTGGTGCATTTTATGACAAGCTTTTTCAGCCCTTTTGTCTTCTGACTTCCACCCCTCAAGAAGTTCGGGGGGAAGGACTGAGGAAGAGGTAAAGGCCTGCACCGGGGCATCTACGGGAGGCAGCTTTAATAGATCCTCCAAGCTGGGCTCCAAGGTATACAACCTCTTGTCACTGCCACTAGGGGTGGGAAGAGTACCAATCTGGGTGGACGGTTGTCTTTTTGCTTCAGCAATGCCCTGAGAAATGCCTTTGCAATTACTTCTTGCATTTCTGCAAAAAGGTTAGGGCCCCTATCCTCCGCTGGACGGGTCCCCGTCTCAGCAGGAGCACTGACCGGGTCTGGAGTCAGAGGCTTCTGTTGAATGGACTCAGCCTCCATGTCTGAAGGGCAATCAAAGAGCCCTGCAGCCTCTGCTATGGATGGAGCTGGAGATCCCCTATTACCCAGAGTGATGTCAGGGGATAAATCATGTCCTTCTTCCTCACTTTCTGAAATGGGGTGGTTTACAGACCCCTGAGGTACTGAGGTAGAGCCAGCCCTATCCTGGGCCTTGGCAAATTCCTTCTCCAATGCTTTCTGGTGTCAGATGGAATCCCTATCCTGCCCTTAGCCCTTAGCACAAGTAGGCCTCACGACACGTATGGCCTCCTTAGCAGCTCTGCCTGCCTGCCTAGATTGGGCCCTGTGATAGATGCTCGTAGAGGGGCCTGGCTGCCGACCTTCACGCTACTTCAAGCCGAACCCGACAACCGCCAGAGCCCAAGGAAAACCCCAGGCATCCTGCTGAGCTAAGGGAGGGAAATTCAAAAGGAAAAAAGTCTTTCCAAGCCCTCCAAGTCCCTTAAAGAAAAAAATGGGGAAGTATAGGAGAAAAATAACGGGGAAAAAATTCAAAAAAATATTATAAGTTTGGAGAGTCTAAGCAATGAGTTAGACTGCTGGAAAAACTTTAGATAAGTCTATTGGGCTAGACTGAATTGAAAAACTAACTAGCACAGAACCAGAGGCATGGCTAAAGATTTCCAATACAGTCCTGCACAATTAGGCAGAATTTAACCCATGCTTGGACTCTCCAAGCA